CTCCTTACACACTGTGAGATCCCAAATCCATCACATGGAGCCTAATGAGGGGGCTGAGCCAGGCCAAATACAACTGTCTAACAGTTTATTTTAACCATCCAATGAGAGCAAAACAACTTAAAAGGATTCATGCTGCCAACAATCTTTTCCTTTTTTTTTTCCTCTTCTTCCCCTCCTTGCATGGCATTTGTTAGAAATCAGGATTTTTCTTAACTAAATGTCTTGTGGTCTCCTTAGCTTTGTTTCTTAACAGGGTTGTCTTTATGTTAGTTTTCTTTGGCTTCCCAATAGAAGAGTAACAGATTTCTTTTGAAGTTTTTATTGATGAATGAGCTCCTATAAATAACTCTCTGTGGCAGCAGCTTGATCTCAGAGTTTACTCTGGAATAATAGTAGCAATGGGAATGGAGGAAATTTATGGCAGCATGACATGAAATAGTTTAATGGGCTTCATACTGTTTAACTTAATCTTTACAGATGTAAAAACAGAAATACAATTATTGTAACAACTATTATTACATATTGCTCTTCTAAGGAAAACAGAAACTCAGTAAGCAATTGGAGATAGGTAGTGAAGGATTAGGGGATCCAGCTCACTGTGGATTTGGGAATTGCTGGGTTGGGCCAATGGGTTTGTAAAGGCTCATCTGGAGAGCTCTGGGAAGGATGAGTCTGCAGGTGGGATTGGCACTGCCATGGAAAGCTGAGGCACAGGATGGAGGTGCTGGAAGCTGCTGGAACCAGTGGAAGTGGTGGAGCTCTGACTTTGGAAGAAGAAATCAACCCGGTGTTTTGTTCCACACCCCCTTATTCCGCCTGTGTGCTTGGGGAGGAGATGATCCCAATCCCACCAGAGGCAATGGGGGTAGTTGGACACGTCCCTTGTGCCCTGTAGCCCCATGAGGGGCACAGCTGGAACCCTCCCACTCCAGGAGCAGAAACATCCCACTCACAGCAGCCAAAGGATGGCAAGGATGGAGGGAGATCTTCAAAAGTCACCTGATAAAAGAGAATTTAACTGCTTTTCACATGTCTGCTCATCACGGGTTTGCTCAGATCTCTCAGAGAATGTCACTTGAGGCAAAGGTGACCAAAATGTGCCTCTTTAAGCTGTGGAAGCTTAGGAAAGTGAAAATTTCTTGTCTAAAAAACCAGAAAGTGAAAATTTTCTGTCTAAAAACCAGAAAAAAATTTCATAAATTTCTTAATAAAAATTTTCTGTCTAAATATCCAACCCAGAGGCCGGCAGGCATTTCACCCAGCCCAGCATCCAGCTGGGGGATGTTTGAACCAATGTGCAAGAGGTGGGTGTAAAATCCAGGATCAGAATTCCTAGGAAAGGTCACAAGACCTAATCCAAACCTGAGATCTGGCTCGTGCCCAAGGCCAGCTCCATTTGCTTCTCAGTGCTTCGCAAAGAGCTTGGGTAAATATTGAAACATGTTGGTGCTCTGCGTAATTTCTGTTAAAAAAAAAAAGCTGACAGCTTTTGTTTCCTCCTTCAGGGAGCATGATTTGAAACCAAACTGCAGTGAAAATGATCAGCATTGTGCATTTCCAACTGTCTGTTCAGTGGGAAATTTGTGTCCTCCAATCCACGGAAATCGCCCGTGCGAGAAAGAGCTTGCAAATTCTCCCTCCATTTCCAAAAATGTGGGAAAGTTTATTTATTTCTCCATGCATTCCTGATTCGCAATGTGCTCTCTAAAAATGTCCCTAAGATTTAGGCTAACCGAGCTCATGCTAAATTTAGCAACTATATTTTAAATAAACATTCTTTACGCTTTGCTGAGCCGGCTTTGAAGCTGGCTTAAAACAAATGGTGCTCGCATGAACACGAGCAATGTTTGACTTTGGCCTAAGAGAACATCTGAATAAGTAATAATGTATTATTCACTGTAATCCGAAAATGAGATTTTAGAGGTCTCACTCAGTCAATTTAGGAGAGATTCCTGTGAGGGATAGCCTGGATTATTTCTGGAAGGGCCCGTTCTGTTCTCTCTGACCACACAAAACTTCCTCTTGGTGTCTTGTTAGACACTGGAGCTGCGGGGCTCAGGGAAATCAGCTGTGACTTAGCACGCACTGCATTTGAGGAATCTGGCCCATTTTAAAGCACTTAATGATTTGTCTGGATAAAGCACTAAAAATATACTGTGGGGAGCAATTATGCAACGTCCAGACTGATGGATTGCATAACCTCATAGACCTTTTCCATCTGTAACTTCTCTCATTCTGTGATCTTGTCTTCTTGGTCTTTCACTTCAAATCAAATATGTGATCTGTTTAATATCCTGAACGCAGTCTCCTGGGAGATCTCTTCTCTGGGTGTGTGGGGCTATGAATCAAGTGAGGAAGCAGATCCTTCTTCCCTTTTTCGCTTTGGGAATTGGCTGCTCCTCACACCAGGCTTAGGAGGGGGCAGCAGGAAGCCAGCGGGTTTTGGTGTGGAAAGGGATGGTCCCTCTGTGTGTTTTCTGTGGCAGGGTATAGAAAGAGAATTCACTTTTAAATTGTGTGAAGGAGAAGAAGCTACAAAGTCCCTGAGATTTATGGAACCTCGGAATCAGGCATGGATAGCCACACCTTGAGTGACAAACCCTGAATGTGGCTTCTGCTCATGCTTAAATACTTGATTATATTTTATCAATGCTTTGAGACCAACTTTAGGAGAACACACACTGAGCCTATTTAAAGACTGGAAGCCCCATTTATGAGGAATTAAACTCCGGAATTATTTTAATATGCCCAATTTTCAGTTCCCCTCATAGGAAACTCACGTTCGGAGAAAGCCCCTCTGGGAACCAAACAACTCCTCTGTGATCTCCCTGCTCCTAGGAGTTAAAATTGGCTGCAGAGCTGGGAGAGGAGAAACCTTGCTGGGTTGGGAGAGGTCATTCCTCTGCAGAGGAAGGGGAAGGCATCTCCATCGCCCACACAGGCTGTGTGCTGTTTATCCTGCATCCCAGGCTGCTTCCACTTCTCCCCACTATTCCAGACTGGTGTTTATAGCCAGCCCTGAGAGGCTGGGAAAGCCAGGAGGAGGAAGATTGCAGGGACGAGTGAAATGCTGGGTGGCAGTTCTGTGCTTGCCAGCTGGTTTTTTGGCTTGTGAAGCAGGTGTGAAACCACTGGCACCAATTCCTTGCAGCTCCTCAGGTCCTCGATTTTTCCACGGCACCGAAATCCACGTGGATGTGGAGAGGATTAAAGGATGCTCAGCCCCATGCAAAGGGCAGGAATTGGTGAATTGACTGCACACTCATTGCTCTGCTGTTGTCTTCACTGTGTGTTTTTATTTTATGTTTTTACTGTATGTTTTTATTGTACCATGACTTCTCCCCTCTCTATAAACAGATGACGTGCAGAAGCCGTGTGTGGTTACTCATCCAGCCTGCTGGCAATAAGACCCTTTTTCTTGGTATTTATCCCCTGTTACAGCACTGGCCTGATCCCAATTAATTCCAAATTGCCCCTCAGAACTGCTCACCGGGTTCTGAGCTCATTGGAGTTAGTGTCACTTTTGTGCAGAGCATGTTAAGTTTACTAATTTCACTCCCTCAAGCAAAACCAAAATCAAGCTCAATGTGGCTTTTAAAGGCTGCAGCTGCACTTGGTCCCACTCCGCTCCACCAAAACAGAAATAAGATCAAATGTCAAAGCAAAGCTTCACAAAGAAACAAATTCCCATTGCATAGAAAAAGCTGGGTCTCCAAAAAAAAGTGTCTGTGATAAAAATATACATTGTGTATCAAACTGAGACTCACTTTTTTAACCACTAAAAAACTGCTCTTGTACAGAAAGGGCTCAGACAGGGAGAGGTCCCACATGGGTGAGTAGGAAAGGAATAAATGCCCTGTTTGCAGACCCAAAAAGGTATTTTGGGGGCTGGAATAGGAGCTGAGAGGTGACAAAACTGGGGGTCACAGCTGGGAGGCCAAGTCAGGATAAAGGGAAACAGAAGAACTGAAGAACTGCAGGTTAAAAGTGGTGACTGAGAGTGTAAATATCCAATTTTGGGGGGTGAAACCTTTCCATGGGCTGGGCTGTGGGGACACCAGGGATGCAGGGGAAGGGCTTGATGGAGACCCATCAAACAATTCCTGGGAGGGAACATCAACCTCCCACCCTGAACCCAAATCAGCACACAGGGGGTGCAGGGAGGACCTGAGGGTTCTGCTGGGCTCATTTTCCTCCCCTTTCCTGTGGGTGATGTCAGTGCCAGCCTGGGATGGAACCTCCTGACCCCTTGTGTACCTGGCACCTGTCCCTAATGCCACACAGGAATGGCACTGCAGGGCCAGGGGTGGCACACAGGGACATTGAACCCTCTCAGCTCTGGGAATCATGCTGGAGACCAAGCAGTGACACCTTCACAACCTTCTGCAAGTGTTTCTTCATTTTCTAATTCAGTGACAGCACTTTCAACAACTCAATATTCAAACAGCAGCTGCCAGAAATAAGAAGCTGATAAAATAAAGTATATCTTGCAAATCTGATTTTAAAAAATAAAAAATATTTTTTATTGTCTTTTTTATTGAGAAGCTCTAGCTCAGCCCATCCAGGGATCTGCCTATGAGCATCATTTTTACGGGGAAGCTAAATAACAATTCTCACCTTTTGGAGATTTTCTGTCCTTCCCCACATAAGAACTCTTTGCCTTGGGCTGGAATGAGCAACCCTGGTCCAAACATCAAGGAATTGATGCCAACCTTCCTCTGCAAAACTGAACTAAAACTCACCTGAAAACCCCACATTTCCAATACCCAGGTGCTCATTTAAGAGCAAGCTTTGCTTTTGAGACAGGGTGGGATGAAAGAAGGGGAAGAGAAGGAGGAACAATCATTTGGGGAAAGATTTCATGCGTTTCAAGGAACAGGGAATTTCCCAGGAGCTTATTTGTACTCCCATCTTTTTGTGGCCCATTATATCAGCAGCAGGCCCCACTCCTCCATCCTCCAGCACAAACCAAGGGGTGTTTCACATCACACCAGCCACAATCCTGAACAAAAATACCTTTATTGGATATACGTTTAGTTTCATAATGAAAATTGAGAATATAATTTTTCCCGAAAAGGGCATTTATCCACGAATATACAAAAAGCCTCTATTTACGGCAAACAAAAATACAAAATATTCCTTATTTCTTGCAGTGTGTCAGGATTCTTCTTTCTTTACAAAAAAATCTTTAGAAACATTGCTGATGTCTCTTTTTATCTTTTTTTCTCCTGGCCTCCACAACCCTGCCTCAGTCTTAATTGGTCAGAAGAAACCAATCCCAGTAAGAGTTGGAAAAAGACAAATTTTCGTGTTTGCACATCCATCCCCGTTTTTTTGGCCACATCCACGAGCAGAAACTCTGTGGGGATACTCCAAAGCATCAGTGCTGAGCAGGAAACCAGTTCCACGCCATGCTGGGTCAAAGCAAGCAGGAATATTCAGGGTGAGCCTGGATTGCTTGGTCTGCCATGAGTTCAGCTCCAGTTACCCACTGAGAGAACTGGGCCAGTGGGGAATATCAGGAATTATCATGTGCCTGTGGGTATTGATGGCAAAATTACGGGCATTATTAATACCTGTGGGTACGGATGGCAAAACAAAATGATGGCAAAACAAAATGATGGCAAAACAAAACTCAGCCTCCTCCCCCCGGCATGAGGCTTGGCTTTCAAAGGAAAAATAAAACAGAGACCTGAAGGGCTCGGGGGAAGCCTGCTCTGAGGAACCTGAGGGATGCAAAGAGTAAAGGTGCAGAGCAAAGCCCTCGGGGCTTGGGGCCAGCGTGGTGCTGCCTCCACCGCCCACGGGAGCACAAAGCCGCTTTTTACCTTCCAAAGTCGCTCTGGCAGGGGCAGAAGAGAATCCGCAGCAAAACGCGCCTTGAAAATGCCCTGAAATCCTGAGTCACCTCTAAAACGTCGCTTTTGGGGGGGATTTTTTAGGTCTTTACCCGCGTGGTGAGGTCTGAGTCCGATCTCTCCCTCCCAGCGCGCCCCCCGCAGCAGCGCTCGGCACCGGGGGCGCGTTAATTGTAGGGGAGGGGGGGGAACTACTGGAAATTAAACACGGCCTCGGAGAAGGGCAGCGGGAAGCAGGAGAGGAAGGGGATGCCGATGTGGTAAAGCCTCCCGTGCACCTGGGAGTCGAGCATGAGCGAAGCGTTGAGGGCCGGCCCGAAGGCGCCGCCGGCCACCAGCGATCCGCCGCGGCAGCCGGGGCTGGCCCGGGCCGCCTTGGGCGCCGCTGCCCCGGGCGGCGGCGGCCGCAGCCCCTGAGCCAGGATGCTCTCGATGCTGAAGCTGCGGCCCCGGGGAACGCTTTTGTGCGGCGGGACGGCAGCGGGGGGCACCGGGGGCTGGGGACAAGGCGCTGTCCCCTCAGCCGGCCGCGGCACCGCCGCGTCCCCCTTGGCCCGCTTGGGCTCGACGGGGCGGGCGGGCGGCGCCGGCTGCTCGGTGCCTTTGGCGTCCGGAGGGTTCGCGGCTTTGGGCTTCCTCTTCCTGCGGCGGTAGTTGCCGTTCTCGAACATATCCAGGCAGCGCGGGTCCAGGGTCCAGTAGCTGCCCTTGCCGGGCCGGCCCTTCTCGCGGGGCACCTTGACGAAGCAATCGTTGAGAGAGAGGTTGTGGCGGATGCTGTTCTGCCAGCCCTGCTTGTTGTCGTGGTAGAAGGGGAAGCGGTCCATGATGAACTGGTAGATGCCGCTCAGGGTCACCTTCTGCTCCGGAGCCTCTTTGATGGCCATGGCGATGAGGGCGATGTAGCTGTAGGGGGGTTTCTGAGGGGGGTCCTGCCGGGACATGGCCCCCCCGGGGGTGAAGCCGAGAGCGGCGGGCAGGTAAACCATGGACGGGCTGCCCAGGGGGGACAGGTGGCTGCTGTAGATGTGGCTCATCGCAGCTCCGCGCCTTCCCCCTCCGAGCCGAGCAAAGCAGGATCGTGAGTCCACCGGGGAGCTGTTTGTGCGAGCTCAGCTCCCAGCCCTGCCTGAAGGAGCTCGCTCTGCCTCTGTCCCTGCTTCATAGCTCTTAAAAAAAAAAAAAAAAGGGGGGGGAGGAAAAAAAAAGTTAAATAATTGTTGTAAGTTTGCTATTATATGTTGACTTAGCGCTGGAAAATAAATTGTCTCTGATAAACAGTCGTTTGTGTTCTCAGCCCACCCACATTAATTAAAATTTCATTGCTACAAAACTCCGAGCTCTCTCCACGTGTCTCGCTGGTACCAGCCAATGGTCTCCGGGTTATTCCTTCATTTGTTTATAGAATTAGTCTGTTGATAAGTCTGCCCACCCAAGTCGAATCAAGCTGTGTTTATTTGGAAAAATTTCCGGGCACCCAATATATAAACGCACTGATCTGATGTTTGAAATATCACGTCCACCCTTTGACGCTGTAAGCACACACAGCAGAGCAGGATGTTCACTGCTGGAGCTGGGGAGCAGCGGGCAGGGATCCCCGCAGCCAAACTGCGGCATTCAACAGCACAAAAATATAAAAAAAAAAAAAATTAAAAATTGAAGAAAGGAAGAGAAAGAGGTGGATGAGGAGAGGAGGCAGAGCTGCGATGAGGAAGGAAAAGGGAAGGGGGATCAGGTGTGGAGGGGTCCTTGGCACTTCCCGATCCGGGTTTCCACCCCGAGGAGACCCCCGGGAGGGCGAAGGGGACCCCGGTGCAGCCCCCTCGCAGCCCAGACTGCAGCAAAAAGGGGAATTTGGCAGGCCCGGGGAGGAGGGTCAGTATTTGTGAATGCGGGCCTGTTGCTTTATATTATGTACTTTCCTGTTTATAACAAGGAGGGGGATTATAACAACTTTACAAGTGCACACAGCTGGCCGGTGCTTACATTAGGAATTTGTGATGCTCTTTTTCTGTATAAACGTCCAGGTTTGGGGCTGTGTTTTCTGTTGTCGGATTTTTTACTATTTTTTTTATATATAATTTACTGACGTAACAGCTTTAATGCGAGGCCCCGAGGGATTCCGATGCAGTTGGAGGTGTCGCCTGTGTGTCCCCAATCCCCCCGCGGGTTTAGACCTGTCCTGTGGAGCATCTTGAGGCTTGAGAGGGATCCTTTTCTCCTTCAAAGAGAAACATCCCAACAGCACAGCAGTTCCCACGGGATTTTTACCTGGCAGGGAAGGAGGAGGTAAAAGCCGAGCTCCGGCTGTCCCCCAGCACCACCCTGCCCTGGCCATGCCATCCCCGCATTTCCCTGCAAGTTCCCCTTCACCCATGGTGTTTCTGACCCAGAGTCGCTCCCCTGTCAGGAGAAGGATTTTTAATCTTAATTTTTAATTTTGTAAAAACCCAGCGCGATGCTGTGGAGCTCCGGATGGGTCCTGAAAGCTGCAAATCGCTAGGATAGCCTGGGAAACGCAGCCGGGGTGAGCGGGGAGCGCCTTCTGGGGCGAGGGTGTGGGGGTCTCCCCTCTCACTGGCTGAGCCCACGCGTGGGAGGGGAATTCACCCCTCTAACACCGCCCTCGCCCGTGATTCCGCATCCCTCCCGCACCCTCGGGAGCTGCAGCACCCGCCCGCCGTGCCAAACGCGCAATAAAGCCCCAAATAAATAAAGAGAGAGGTGAAAGGAGGGATTTGAGGAGCAGCACCCACCCCCGAGCTGCCTCCCCGCCCCTGGAGCATCCTCACCGGGGAGGGATGGAACGGAGCCCCCCGGAGCATCCTCAGAGCAGCCACCGAGGGTCTTCCCCCCCTCACCCTCCTCCTCCTCCTCTCCCACCTCGGGGAGTCCCCAGCTCCTTGAGACACTCCAGGCACGGATTAGCAGAACAATCAATACTCGCGCGTACGGCCGGAGACAGTCCCGGCGCTCCCTCTCTCTCTCTCTCCCCGAGCTCCCTCCCCCAGCCAAATTCTCGCTTCCTCCCTTGTTTTCCCCTCTCGGCGGTGGGAAATCCTTGGAGGCGGGGATGCGGCTTTTCTCTCCGTTTCTTTTTCCCAGCTCGTGTGTGCTGCAGTGTTATCCCTGTTATCCCTTCCCTGCCGGCGCCATCGTTGGAGCTCCGAACGGGATCGGCATCCGAGAGGCTCCGATGGC